TCAGCTGCTGTTTACCTTGAACTCTCCTTTCAAAAGAGGTAAGGAACCAATGCTGCTATGGCCTGTTTGTGCCAGACCTTAAATGGAAGCAAAAGGGTCTTACTGCACTTCTCAGAGCCTTGAAAGAAACAAAAGGTCCTAGCCAATGCTCCATTCCCCAGCAAAGCAGGGACCCTGACAACCAAGGACGCCTGGAAATTAGTAGTCAAGCACATTGTTAGTGCCAGGTTTGTAGACAGCCTGGATGCTGCCAGTATCTGATCTCTTGTTAAGTACTTTGGGATTTGGAAAGAAAGGTGCTGCATGCAGGTAAATTCTATCCAATTCTCAAATCTGAGGTGAAAGTAGATACGCAGCAGTGAAACCTAGATGGGAAAAAGGAAATTAGTGACCCAACACAGAGACTAGCTCCTAATAACACCTGTCAGAGTCCCACCTGGAAAATCAAACACAAGTTGATCACACACCAATTTAAAATTGAACAAGGTAACTAGTTTGTTCAGTCAGTCCAAAGTCTGGCTCTCTTTTGTGGCTAAATTAAAACAAACCCACTTTTACTGAAGAAAAAAAAAAGTGTTAAGAACAAGACTGTAGATACATAAAACATCCTTTGTGCAAATGTTTAAAATCCTCCATCTTCCCCCCCCACATGCACTGTAAGAGTCACTTGCCCGTATAGAGGTCACCAATGTGTGTTCCAAATGGGTGCAGAAGAGTGCCTCCTATTGGTAAATTCACTAAACAACAACAAAACATGTGTTTTTTTTTTAAATGGAAAACACGCAAAGTATTTTGTGAACTATCAGGATGAAGTTCAGACAAATAAACCTCAACCTTTCACTCCAGTCCTTGGCATATATAGCAGAGACTACAGATTCAGCAATTCAATCTCCATATATTTTCTCTCAAATTATTCAATTTCTGGCCGCCAATCTTTAGATCTCCTATTGGATTTTGTTTCCATAAATAGATTTTTCACAGTGCAGGTAGAAAGTATATTTAATTTCATATTTCTTGAAACTGAAATAGCCAATATAAATGTCACTGTATATTTGTGCTTTACATTCTTCCCTGTGGCGCAATCCCCACCCCAGCTCAGAATCAGTGTGTTAGAATGCTTAACAACTCTTGTTTCATATTTGCACATCTACTACAATATTTTCTTTAACAAGGATTCTTTAATACCAAGTCTCTTTTTCTCATTTTCTTATGAATTATGGTATTAATAGTTAAGAAATTTGTTAAATATTTTTTTCTCAGAAGAAGAGACTCACATTCATTTTTCTTTTTAAAAAGCAATTTTTAGAACACACGTTTTAAAGAACAAGCCAGAATATACTTACCTCCCCCCTGCCCAAGTAAACAGCTATGCTTGTCCCTCTTCACTGGTATCCACAGTAACAACTACTGACTAGAGGATGACTCTGTGAGCACCCCTCTGGTTTGCAGTTGACAATGCCAGAGAGTGAACCCTGGTTTTAATGAAACCTGGATGCCAAATGCCACCTTCCACTTCCATCTTCATCTTTAATTGCAGTACATGTAATTGAAAATTCACTGGGAAACTTAAGCCTATCGCACTGATAGGGAAGTTTCTCCCCTTTTTCCACAGGAAATCCCAGGTCTCCTAGCAATCAGAGTACTGAGCATGCTTCCACCTCTATGTAGTTCCAACAGAATCATAATTTAGGGAGAGATTCTCACCCCTGACTTGCTGCACAGACAATACAAAACCAGTGGTCTGCCCTAACTTTCTTGCTGGCAGAATCCACCTGCCACCATGGCCCCCAATGTTCAAAGGATAAACAGAGCCTACAAATACTTCATACACCTCCCTCATTGCTCAAGAGGAGAGGGTACTTTAGGGGAAGAAGAGGACACAGTGGGCATATCTACATGTGCATTAAGTTACCATAATTACAGCGCCTTAAGTTTAGTACCTGTAATAACAGGAACTAACTTAATGCACTGTAATTGGCACTACTACATAGTAGCACCAGAACACGTCTTTTATGTGACTTTAATGCACAGGAGACTAATTCTACTTCACATTAGCATATTAGCACAGCTTTTGCTGTGACGTGCTAATGCACAGTAGAATTAGTTCACTGTGCTTTGAGTCTCTCTTGTAGATGCACCCAGTATATCTTCAACTGACAGTTGGTCTTTTAAGGATCATTGCCAAAAGATGCACATTACAGAAGCTACAAGACTGCTTTAAGTTGCACCTGCAGCTGAACTAGTAGGAGAATTAGGCAGCTATTTACATCCACTTAACTAGCTGACAGCCATTTTTCTCTGCTGTGTCCCACACAGGCTGAATACAGCAGAGTCTGGCCCATACTGCTGGTATGAATTAACTACTGAATTATCCAAATAATTCCCCATGCATTCAAATACAGGCCCCTTTTCCATTCACTTATTCCTTTCTGACAGTGCAGGGCTATTGCTGCTGTAGAGAATTTAAGCTCCAAGAACTAAGCCCAATGGAACAACCATTCCCCATTACATCATTGTCATCATTTTGCTTATTTCTGGCAGTTTCCACCATGTGCTGCATGCCTCTGCTAGTAAGGCCTCTTCTCCAACCCTCCTGCAGACCCTAACAGTCCTGAAAACCCCAAATGGGAGGACTTTGTACCAGTGCCACACACTGGAGATATTTCCTCTCATCTTTGAGTGTCTGACTAAGATGGAAGTAGGAGCCCTGCATGTGGAGAGATGCAAGTCCAGCCCTTGCCCGCTCAGAAGGTATGATAGCCACCAGGGAGCCTGCAAATAAAGACATTGAGCTTTAAGTCCAAATGAGTCGTCATCCTCCCTTCCTCCTCAGAACCCAGAAGTAACTCCTCTGTGACGAGATGCAAATGCACTTTTGCTCAAAGTAGGGCACAGCTGCACTACCGCAGGAGACTACGACCCTGGCTCTAGGGAAGGAAAAACCCAGATCAGTCCTAGAGCTGGTGAAGGTTTGTCCTCTTCCTCCCCCACCACCCACTCAACTGCATTACCCAAGCTACAGCCCACTCCACACCCATCTCTGCAGGGGGGACAGCTGGCATTTGAGGAGCAAATGCTCCCACCCAAAAGAGCTGGATGATTTTAACTGAGCAGTGAGATTTTGCATTACCTTCATTTTCTTGTAGGCAGTAACATGGCAAGGAAGATTGGCACCTGGGGCAAAGCCCACAGCAGTAGTCCACCCTTACCCCGTGCACAGATCTGGTGGGCACACTCCAGCCTCCACTCCTCCCAATGCTTGGTCAGGAATGTATGCGGGGTGGGAGCTGCCCTCCCCCCATCCCAGCGCCTCCCCAAATGAGGCACTTGCAGCTCCATCCTGCACCCCACCTGGGCCGAGCCTGTTGGTGCCTCTTCGCTTTGGCACTCAGGGCAATCACCCCGCTCGCCCCCCACTTGCTACGGCACTGCTTATAGGTTACTTAGGCTAACAAGAAATGTGGAGGAGAACTGAGCAGCTAGAAATAAGTATGAAGGGGTAACAACTGAAAATACTTTTAATAATATAAGAACTACTAATGCACCATGAAATTTACAACAACAAGTAACTGAATGCACAATATTAAGGTATTTCATTAAGCATTTTATGCCAAATTAAGCTTCTGGAATAGTGTTTATGCTACTAGACTCCATTTAATCAAAAACTATTTTTAATATTTAGTGAGAGTAACTTTACAATTAAGAATAAAAATAGTTTCAAGGGTTTTTTATATTACTGTATCTACTTTTGTGACTTGGGTTCTTTAAAAAAAATGAAAAAACAAAAAACCCAAACAAATTTGGTATTGCTTTTGGTTTAAATGGGCTTCTAATGTCAACACAGAATGACTTAGCAAGTGGTTATCCTGGAGCCTTCTCACCAGAGCAATATGCTCCAGAGGAATTTTCTTAATGTGATGCGATCCAGGTGCTCAACTTTTTGGTCCTACTGCCCACATGGGAGGAGTGGAGCCTATTCACAATCAGACTGGCCCGGGGGATCAGAACTGCCCTTTCCCATACCCTGCACACTGGCACATCCTCCTCCTGCCCCCACACCCCAAGATTGGGTCCTGGGGGACCAGCACCTCCCTCTCTTATACTCCCATGCGCTGGTATTGGGTCCAAGGGCCTGGCACTTCCCTGTTGGCACTGGGCTTAAGAATCAGATACCTTGTTCTGGGTGGACCCAAAACCCTCAGACCAAGCGCTACCTCTCCAACTGATAATAGGCGAAGTTTACTGATACACAGCGATAGCAGATAAGAATAATCCATATAATTCTATATCTACCAGTCCTAGAGCTGCCACCACAGTCAAGGTACATCTGGCTAGTACGCAAGCTTCACTCTGAAGTTCTCACTTGAATGTCAGATGTAAGTGGCCTGGAGGTTGGAGGCTGAGGCCCACCCCCAGTGGGGTAGGTGAGGCAGGCTGGTGGTGTGCTCTGTCCATGGTAGCCTCAGGTTCCCCTCTTGGGGACCCTTTGCTGTTCTGAAATTTCTCTTTTTGTATTCTTTTTCCCTCTGTGATGACTCTTTATGTTTGGGCATTGCTGATTGGTCCCTCTGTGGCCATCATCATAGGTGACACGTAGAGGAGGGGGCACAGGGAGACTGGCTGCCGCTGAAGCCGCTGTTGGCTTCTCTGGGCAGTTGCTACCCCCCCACACCCGCTCGCTGCAAATGTGACCACCGGCGGCTGCGGGCAGTCCCTGCTTGCCACCCTGACCTTGCCCCTGGCACCACCGCGGCCATCTGTGGGCAGTCCCCACTCAACCTGCCCTCACCAATGACATCACTGCAGCTGCCTGGGGGTGATCCCTGCTTGCCACCACCATGCTGCCGCTGCCTGTGGCCAGTCGCCATGCCCCCCCAGCCTCCGGGGGCACACATCATTCATGGTGAACATATTTTCTATGTTCTGTCCTATCAGCATATTCCTTTGTTTCACAAACCCATCACATGCATGCATCCTAATTTGGGCTTTTTACGGGCCTCCTAATTTGGTGTCTTCCCCTAAACTGGAAATCTCAAGAGCTCTGCAGGTGGGCACTGCAACCTGGTGCCACTTTATCTCATGTTATGGAATAGTGTGGTAAATGTCTTCAGTTTTCCAGTCTCTGTGTCTGCTTGCTGCTGGCCCATGTCAGACATAGTGGGCCTTGAAGACACTGTAAGAAACAGGCTTTTAGAAATCAATTAACTCTTGCCATTGCTCTGGACCATTGTTGTAATGCATATCTACTTTACCTACAAGCCAAATCCCAAAAGCAAAACCTCTAAAGATCATTTTCTTAGCCATCATCCCTGCCTGGCCCCCCACACTGGGATTGGGCCTTGGGCCCAGTGCTACCCCCTTTTGCACTGGGATTGGGTCCTGGGGCGTTGCCCCTGCCCAACCCTATGTACTGGGATTGGGTGCCAGATTCAGTTTTCAAGGCTCCCCCTGATTCCAGAAATTTGGCAGTGCCACTGTTCTCCTGCTGCCAAATTTCTGTACCTATAGCGAGCCCCACGGTTTGGACAACATGGCGTTGAGGGCCAGATCTGGCCCATGGGCTGGAGCTTTCACACCCCTGTACTATGAGGTTTACACTTCCTAAAAACACCAGTCAGGTTTTTTGTTAGTAGAAAGCAGGAACCCACAAAACTCTGGGGTGTTCTCAGACACTATGCAAGACTCAGTTGTTTTTAACATCAAAATACGCAATATATTGGTCTCATTTAGAAAGCAGGATCCACAGAGGATGTACTATATTTATTCAAGAAAAGACCACAACAGTTGTAGCACAGTCTCTAGATTTCCTGCTTTTATGCCTCTTTAGGATTAGGGCTACAATTGCCTTAAAATTTGCCACAGTCTGTTTTTTCTGCAGCTGAGCTTTCCATCTGGCTTAACACATAAGCTCTGTGTCCAGTGAAAAACTCACCCCTGTCATGGGGCTTGACTTGATTAACAAATAAGGCAGAAATCCAATCCAGTTCTTCTACCTGAGGTTCTTCCGAGGATGCCAAGTTCAGTGCTGCTCATTCCACACTGGTAGCCTTCTCTGAATCACACTGAGGAGCCCTCTGTTAGGGTAGCCCAGCCTGGGAGCCTCTTTCTTCCTATGTAATTATGTTCATTTTTTAGCAGGGTCAGGCAGCTTTCCATGCAGGACTCAGTAGCCATCTCAATTTTACTTGAGGAAGGTAAACTGAAGCAAGGTTCACTCTAATACACTGTCCAACAGGGCATGCTGCTAAAGTTGTTTTGGTTTGCCAGGGCTTTGGGAAGTGAAAAGGAAGCCAGGTCTTAAAAGGGCTTCCTGAGTAATCGAGCCAGAGTCCCTGCAACTGCAGGTAACCATGTAAATCCAAAAGGGTCCCTGAGAACATCTGATCCACCCCCTCCCACATATCACAGAGCACCCCAGATACTCCATAAGGGGGTTAGGCACTTTCATATAAAAGATGGAGGCCTCAGAAACTACAACATGTCACACAACCAACGGGACTATTAAAGACAGGGAGCTTGTCAGGTGTGATGATCCTAGGAAACAGACTCTGCTCCAGGCTTTAGAAAAGGTCAAAGAAACTTCAGCCGTCCTTGTGAATCAAACCTGAGAGAACCTTTCTTCCCAACACCAGCAGTCAGTTTAACATGGAACATGTAACAAGAGGCACCTAAGAGATGTCTCTGTGACACGCAGGGCACCAGCACACCACACTCAATTATCCACCTCCAGTCATGGACAGTCTCCAAAGCTATACCCCAAGAACCCACTTCTCTCCCTTACCTCGCATTCACAAGCCCTAGCTTATAGCAAAATTTCTGTACACTCCAGGGAATTATGCAATTATGCACAATCGCATAATATTACACAGTACCCTGGGATGCAACTGGTGAGTGGTAAGTGGAGCTCCTGCCTGCAGCAGAGGAGGTGTGGGTTTGTGTGGGGTTTGTGGGTGGGTATGGGCCCTCCTCATCACATGCTCCCCGCCCCACAGTGCACAGCCCTGCTGCTGGTGGCAGCAGCTGGTAGCCAGGGCAGGCACAGCCCCCAGTGCTGCAGCTCCAGCTGAGTGCCTGGGGCTACATATGGTTCTTGCCTGCAGTGCTGCAAGCCCCACATGCTGACACAGAGCCAGCCCAGTCTGGTCCAAAGGCACCCACCAGCAGGCTGAACCAGGTTCTCTGTGCCAACATGTGAAGCCCCCAGGATTTGCTGAAGCCATGTACCACCAGGGGCTCTGCCTGCTGCAGCCAGGAGCACCCCAAGGGCCTGGCAGTGGTGTGGGCTGTGCCAGGTGGGGTCTGGTGGTAGGGGATGGGCACAGGGGATTTGTGTGTGGGAGGGCTGTGCATGGGGTGGTGGCAGCAAGGGCTGTACTGCGGGGGCTTTGCACATGGCACCCTGTGGTGGGAAGCCCACACCCACCTGCAATTCCCACATACTCCCTCACAAACCCCACAAACTCCCATACCCACACCCACCCACAAACGCCACATACATCCATGTCCCCACACCTCCACATACACCCCCAACCACATCCCACACACCCACACTCAAAAGTACTTGCATATATTTCTAAAGAAGGTTCAAATAGTGTATTTAGTTTAACCTGTAAAAAGAAAATGTAATTCATTTAGCATAATTTTGAATTTTTCTGCACATAATTCCTTAGGGTGTAGTTCTTGTATTAGTCCCTAAGTGCATGAATTTGCATTTTGTTTTATTAAATTGCAGACCATTTCTATTATTTCAATGCACATAGTTGTATCAGTTTTCATGCATGCTAACCTAGTCCTCATTCTTAGCAGTACCTCCCAACAATATATCCAAGGCTATATGTGAAACAAATATATTACACTGCTTTACATTAATGGTTGATTAGTTAATTTACCCAGGGAATGTTGGTTGTTGGTAATTTCCTAAAATACAGTTTTTCCATCAAGAAAAGCCAGCTCTCCAAAACTGTCTGGGAACATATCAGCATCAGTCAATTTGTCAGGAAGGTTTTGTCAGATCCACTGTGGAATTTTGGATCAAAGAAAGGCAGAAAGAGAGAAAAAAATCCGGAAATCACAAGTTGCTCAGGTTTTAGGATACTTACTTGTAATTTAAGAGCCCAAGGTTAAAGACCTTGGAAAACAAGCAAAGGTAGGAATATTGCTGTCCCATTTCAAGCTGTCCCACACCCCAAGTGAATGCCCTAACCACTGGCCTACCACAAGAGAAGGATGAGAGGGGATCTGGTGGCTATTTACAAACTCACTGGGGGGGGGACCAGCAAGAATTGGGGGAGGCTGTTCCCCCGGGCACCATCTGGGAGTTACTAGGAATAATGGCCACAAATTGTTAGAGAGAAGGTTCAGGCTGGACATCAGGAGACATTACTTTACAGTTAGGGCTGCCAGGCTCTGGAATGGACTCCCAAGGGAGGTGGTGGTCTCTCCTACCTTGAGGGTCTTCAAGAGGAGGTTGGACAGCTATTAGGCTGGGGTGTTATGACCCCAGCACTCATTCCTGCCCAGGGCAGGGGGTCAGACCTGAAGATCTGTTTAGGTCCCTTCTGACCCTAAGCAATATGAAACTATTTTAGGGTTCTGTGAAAAACTCCTAAAGGTTTCAGGTTCATCTCAGTGCAGACTCACATTTTGCAAACTTCAAGAATGTATCCAAAATGGGGACACCATCAGATTCTCATCTGGAACCTTGACCCTAACTGACAAGCTGCTTAATGCTGCACACATACATCAAAATGATGCAAGTCTAGGTAAACAATTACCTGCTTTTCATGTTCCCTTCTGGGGCTGTACATAGAACAAGTAACATTTCCAAATATTGGGACTGGTCTGGACTTGCTTTGATTCAAATCTTGAAGCTTGCACCTGAACAGAGGTAGGGGCTGCCAAGAGTTGAAAAGTGTGTGACTTCATTTTCTTGTAAGTAACATTAGTCTCATATACTATTGATGCTAGTTTCCAGGTTGTAATGAGAGAACAGCAGGAACAGATGCCTAAGCAAGAGACAGCCAGAAGTACTTGTAAGATGCTTCTGCTCTAGCCACTAACAGCATAGCTTTTCTATTAAGATTATCTACAACACAAACAGTGAAACTGAGAAATCTGAGTTTTTAAAACTGTAATTAACAAGTCATGTTATTTGTGATCCCTGCTTCCAAAATATTTACATTTCTTCAAACCATATCTGATACATTTATCAGCAGGGATCCTGGTTCTCTCTGATAAAAAAATCCCCATTTTTCCAATAGAAAAAAGTAACCCAAAATCCACATTTTCCATGATTAAAATGGGTGTGGGTGGCATTTCATTTTAATCACAGAAAAATGTAGACTTTGAGTTACTTTTTTATATCCAACAATGGGGATTTTTTCCTCAGAGAAAACCAGGATCCCTGTTTATCAGCCAGACTTCCAGTTCTGTCTTAACAGAGTAGTGTACAAGTCGCATCACCAAATTTCGTTTTTCTCAAGGTATGCCATGCAGTTGTAGTATCAATTACTCAAACAATTTCAATCCATCTAGACACTAATGTCATTCATCCACAGAGGTCCTTTTGGAATAATTTACATAGAAACTGCCTTTACATGCTAAATGAAAAATATTCAGCCTTTAGTGAATGGAATTTGAATTACAATCCTACCACATGTGGTTCAGCTTTATTCATGCTATTTATTAAATAGGAAAGAAGGTGATGCAGTCAATTACAAAGCAATTACCTGAACAGTTATTGCAAACCTGTGCCCGACAATAATTATTATGCCTTGCACTGAAGAGACACTTGCCCTTGATTTACACAGAGCTTGCCTACATGCTACCTTCTATCTACCCAAAACGGATCCTGACCCCATTTACACTTAATTGAGCCAAACAGAATCCCTTTGTTCTGGTATAATCACTTTCTGAAGGTAGTACATCTCACTCCAAAACCTGATCTTTTAATTTTCTCTTTCTACAGCACTGATGAGGCTTTTTTGCTTTGCTGTGCTTTGTTTCTTAAATGAGGAATAAAATTCAGGCCATGGTCAAGCCTTTGATTCAGGAAAAATAAATACCCAAGATGCTTGATGATGATAACGATGACCGCTTTTTCAGCCCTTTTCATCACAGACCACAAAATACTTTACAAACCAAATCAATTGTAGTTATCCATTTTGAAGTGACAGGGAAACTAAAGTCAACAAAAAAAGACTCAAACTGCAGAGTATCCCAAATTTGAATAAAAACCACTGTGGTGGTGCCAAATGCAACACAAATTTTGGATCACATTATCACCCCCTTATAGTGGGCCACAAAGTTACCTCTTTTCTTCCTCCATTCCCAACTTGCAGATCTTGCTGCTACTTTCTGAATCTCGGTCTGCATCTCTTTCTTTATTGCAGCAAAATGCACACCTTCTGCGTTTGCTTGTCTCTACCGTTGCTCTTGCCGCTACTTCTCCTGCTCTTCCCTTTAATCTTCTCTTT